TTAATATGAACACAACATGTCTCGGGACATGGTGGTCCCTTTAAGTTTCAGGTGTTTAAAATATATGGTCTTGCTAGGTAGTCAGAAAGTTTTTCCCATAAACTGTATTTTTTTAAAACGCGCGTTAATAAATCAGACCAGAAATAGTTTGAAAGCCTAAATTATTTTTTTTCAAATAATAGATTGCCTGCCCAAACCAAACCCTCAGTCAATGTAGCAGCACTCCCTTGCGAGTCAGGCTATTTGTCAGTCAATGTAGCAACACTCCCTTGCGAGATGGGCTATTTGGCAGTCAATGTAGCAGTACTTCGTTGCGAGTCAGGCTATAAGATAGTTGATGTAGCAACGCTCCGTCGCAAGTCAGTCTATAAGATAGTTGATGTAGCAACACTCCCTTGTAGCAGCAGGCTATAAGTTAGTCAATGTAGCAACGCTCCGTGCATGTTTTATAAATAAATTTTAATAAAACAACAACAAAAACACCATTAATTAAAAAAAGCTTTCTAGTCATGTTGTGGACTTCAAGTAATTTAAATCATGCTGGATCAACAAAATCAAATAATGCCTATATACTACTTTTTTATTTGTATTCATTAATATTAATTAAATCTTTTCTTTCTAACATATGAAGCCATGCTTTTAATTTAAAAGTTTTTATTTGTTTTTACCAGTCAGTCATTATTTCCTAACTATTTCCAGATTTGAAAAACCTTATAAAAATTGTTCCTAGAGGTAATCTATCACTATATCTAGAATCTGATCTACAAATTCCACAATTGTTTATCCGAATATCAATCCCATAATCACTTTCGCTTTATAAAGTAGTTCTCTTTCTAGAACGCTAACAGTACGCTATTATGAGTCAATAATAAAACAATCAAAGCTATTATTTTTAAAGCTGAAGCTTTAGTTAACAAAATTTTAAAGAAAATAAAGCTGAAGAAAGCAAAAAATTGATAAAGATCAATTACAACAACAAAAATTTTAGAGTTGCAAAACCCAAATTGCGTCAGTGAGAAGTCTGCAATGGCTTCTTTTTAGCCAAATCAGAAATTCTTGGAGCGGTCTTTGCAAGAGCACAGCGCACATAATCTTTTGCAAGTCTACTTTTGTGTTTAGATTTGATAATCAACAAGTTAGAAAAGCCTGTTTAACAAAGGTATGTTGATGGAAAAGGAAGAAGCAGGCGCATCGCTGGTAATGAGTTCAATTAACTCCTCTTGTGCATTCTTGATAATATCACCAACTTTAACTGTGAATGTACTTCTAGCAATTGTAAATGATGTGTCAGGAAAATTTAAAAAATTTCTTCAAATTTTTTTCAGAATTTAATTGTGTTCTTTGAAAGCGATTATTGTTCTTTTCATTGTTTCATGTTCTATGTAATTTTCCTCAAAGAAAGCAGATAAATTTTGCAACATGTAAAATTTATTTTTATCTAATTTTGTTTGCTAAAGTTGAAGTTTTAATTGAAATGGTCAGATATTTTCTGACAAATCTAGGCATGTTGCAATTAGCCTCGGAGCAATAAAATCAATTCTTTGATGATTGCAATGATGTCAACCAAATATTTTATGAATTTTTTTGATTTTTTATTTATGAATTTTTTTGATATTTTATTGATTTTTCTTGCCAATAAGTGCTTCAGAGTGTGATTTAGATTTTTGAGAAAAATGTTTTTAATTTATCATGAAGATCAAAAACATGTTTTAAAACTTTGTCTCTGGACAACTACCTCACATCAGTATGAAATAACAAAACATTAATAGATGCATCCATTTCACTGCAAAATTTTGAAGACAGGCAGTTATTTATAGCACTACCTTTTACAAAATTTACTTCACTTACAACATTTTTTAGTATTTATACTAATTCATTTGGCAATATCTTCGTTGCTAACATTTTTTAATGAATTATACAGTCTTCTACTGACCGTGTTATTCGACAGTTATTAGACATTCAGTTTTTTAACATATTTAGCTCTATGCATAACTCGAAAAAGCCTGCGGTTGCTTGCAACAGCAGGCTTTAAGCAATAGTGTGAGATTTCTTGGCTCTGGCAATTTTGAGAGCCACCAAATATAAAGCATTAATGCCGGCTACATTTTGCTGTTGGTACTGGTCAGATTTTAGTTAGGTAAACAGTACGTAGCATTAATTAATGACGGGTAACCGTCATTTGATAAGTTTAAAATTCATTTATCTCTTTTTTAAACTTTAGAACCATTAATTGTAATATAACAATGTATCAATATTAACTTGGTATGTGAAAGAAGATCTTGAAAATCTTGTTGTTAAAAGTTTCTATAGTTACAATTTCTTTATTACCATCAGAATTTTTATAAATATTAAACACAACCTTTGTATATATTTTTTTGAATTTCTGATTCTGAAACCCACTTATTATTCCTCAGCTTAGGTACATCGTTGTTTATTAGTTTGTCTTTCGAATGGGCTTTCTCGTCTGATGGGCATGTGGTCATTTGAGGACGAAAGCACGCATTGATTGCTAGAATTGAAATGTCTATTATAATAAATGAATGAATCCTCAAATCCTGGCTCCTGACATCTGTTGAATGTATTGTACGTTGCTTTGGTTTAATGATTGTTTTTTTTGTTGTTTTTTTTTAAACATTTTCGCTTCCAATAAGGCTGCAAGCAACCACTAATTAGATTTGAAAGTTACTGGAAGAGAAAAGATGAAGATTGTAGAGCAAGATAACAATTGACAGACGGCTTAAAAGATTGCAAATTATATGAAACTTAAAACTTTAAACTATAGATGATAGAAAGAAACCATTGAATGGCATAAACAATTTTTTTTTTAAAGGTCTAATGGCAACCTTAGGCAAATTTTCAGGCGACCTCTGCTAGGATCGCATTCCACAGTTTGGGAACTGCAGGCGCCACTATGTTGACTTGATATTTGTCTTGTATGGCTTTCGTAATAATGTCCAGAGTTTCAAGTAAATTAGTAATGCAGCTTTTTTAAAATAAAACCATGTTGAGATTTTAAGATGATACTGTTTTCACTACAGTGTTTTAAAATTACTTCACGTATAAGATTTTCAATAATTTTACTTACAATAGATGTTATTGAAACTCCTCAGTAGTTTGAAGCTTCTAATTTACTGCTTTTCCTAAAAACTAGACTAACATTTGCCATTTTCTACATATCAGGAATTTTACCTCATTTCAATGAAAGATGAAAGTTGATAATATTAATGGAATCGCAAAACTTTTTCCACACTCTTTGAGAACTCTAAGATAAATGTTGTGACTTTTGTTGTATTCAGTTTTTAATTTGTTCTTGAAAAAATTCTTTAGTTATTACTAGCTCCATTTTTTAGAATTCTTTTGTTTGTTGGTGAAAATCTAGAAGAGAAGAAGATGGCTCTTTTTCAAATATTGAGTAATAATATTTGTTTGATATTTTTCATGTCTTTTCATTATCAATAGTAGTTATAATATATACACAAACACACACACACACACACATTTAATTTTGTGTCATTAATTGTCGATCCCACCTTCCTTTCCCACCCCGCCCATTAACTCAAATTGATCTTCTTTTTTTTTTTAAACCAATTACAAAAGGGTTTACGATCAACAGTTTATAAAGCCCTGGCTACATCTAGCATGAGTTAGGCTTTTAGATAATAATATTTTAGGGACCATTTTTAGAACAGCAATATTTTATTTGGGTCCTTATTAGTGTTTAAAAAGGTTTATGGTACCTAGGCAGTGCATAATTTGCCCCTATATAAAAGGTAACCAATGGTTTCAACTATATTCATTCAATTAATTAATCAATTTTTATCAATAACAATTAAAAAATTGTTTTTATATAGTTATATTTTAGATCAATTTTGAATCTGTTCAAATTATTTTTTTAATTGCAGCTTTATCAATAGAAATGCAACATGGTCATTTAAATCAATGTTAAATGCGGTCAATTTAGAAAAAAGTTTCTAAACATCTACCTGCTGACATTTTACCATGTACTTGAATAAAGCCAAGATTATATATTTTGCTATTGGCATAAATACATACATAATAAACATGCATACAAAAATATTAGGATTAATATATATCCAATGCTCAGTGGAATCAACTAATCCTATAATAAACTGAATCATCAATCATCATCTAATGTTAAAAATTATCATCCTATGTTAAACTGAACGTAATTCCATTTGTTTTAACACTTCATGGAATATTTTTTTTATCTTTGTTTTATAGTTCGCAACAATGTTTTTGTATATTTTTAGAGATAAAAGAAATAGTTTCTAAGCCTCTTGTAATCTGCAAAAGTCAGTCAACAAAGTTTTGCAAAAATGAAGCCATGCTTAGCAACCATGCAAAAAATAATTGCAAAAATTGGTTGATTGGTTTCATTATTAATAAATGATAAAATACCAAATGTTTTTGCGGTAAATTTCAGTAAATACCTGTAATAACCATTATTGCATGACCTTGTTGTTTCACATTTCAGATAACTAAAGTCTTTTTAATAAATGCATTTGAATTATGTTTAAAATGTTAAATGTTGAAATGTTAATAATTAAAATTTTTAACTTTTTTAAATTTTAAACAGTTATATTAATGTTATATGTTTTGTATTGTATGATTTTAAATTAATTTTGAAAATTTTAATTATATGTCTTTCGTAATAATGTCCAGAGTTTCAAGTAAATTGTTATCGCAGCTTTTTTTTTAAATAAAACCATGTTGAGATTTTAATATTGTTTCATAATTTCACTTTACAACTTAAAAAATTATAATTTTAAATTAGTTTTGAAAATGATATATTCTATATTCTATTTTAAAACTATTTTAATTGTTTTTGATACATTTCAAAGGTTGTGTTTAATTGAGTTCAAAAGTTGTGTGTAAAATTATAAATATAATAAAATTTTTAATTGCATTATTTTAATGAATTTAAGCTACAGATATTTATAGTTATAAATATTCAAAAGTTATTTTCTTACTATCTAAAGGTTGGATGCTTGCTGACCCTTTGTGTTCCATCTTTATTTCTGTTTTGATTTCAATGAGGTATTAAATGTGTTATGTGTGTGTCCATATATATATATGTATATATATATATATATATATATATATATATATATATATATATATATATATATATATATTATATATATATATATATATATATATATATATATATATATATATATATATATATATATTAGGGTATGACTAAAAAGCACATTTTATTTTTTCAGAAATGGCATAGCAGCAAAAGATGATCTACTTGTATTAACTTAAAATAATAATACTTTTACCAAATCGAAAAAAACTCCCCCACAGATGATGACGCAGTGCAGATGGAAATTTGGTCCCTGCTGTCTAAAAATGCAAAAATTCAAGTTTTTGCATTTTTATTTTTATATATTGGGGGTCACTTAACAAATCTTCAAAATACCATGATAGTTATTTTTGCAGCTTCATCTATCTACTTTTAGATTATGTTTTGTTTTTTGGTAAAAGTGATAGGAAGTGTTGATCATAACAATTTGCAATCATTTGTATATTTGAAAGTTGGGGGGGGGGGCTAACTTTTATTTAATGTGCTTTAAATATAAAACATTTTAATTTGTCTACTAGCAAAAAATGCTGAAAATTACCTCCAGTATAATACATTAGATACAACAGTAGCTGCAATAACAAAAAAGCCAAAGCAATTTAACTTAAATTCTGTTTCAAATTTCTGGAACTGTGGGAATCAAAGACATGCTAAAGTTGTCTGTCCTGCTAGAGAGTCGATTTGTTTTAAATATGAGAAAGTTGGTCATTTTGCCAAGTTATTTCAAATACTCAACTAGACTGTAATTGTACATTTTTTATTTAAAGAAAGACTTCCCCACCGAGTTCCATCCCCACCACGTCCCTGGTAGTACCGCGCTCAACTCATTTCTCCGCGCAGCGGCCTTGTTCGTCAAGGTTCGTGTTTCCGAGTTATAGAGTTGAGAGAGGGTTATAGCTCACAAGTCTGTAGTGGCCTTCTTGGCCTTGAGGAGGTGAAGTAAAATTAAAAAAAAAAAAAAAAAAAAGACTATTTTATAGTTTTTATCCAAGATTTTTAATCAGTTGTTTTAATTTTTAAACAATAATAAGCTACAGCCCTTAAGTTTGCTTCTCCGTCTTCTTTTGTTTTCAAATGTTTCAATGGGTTATTGAGAGTGGGAGGAGGCGGGAAAGAATTTTGTCAAATTATTTTGTAAACAAAAAAATGTCAACAAGAAAGTTTTTAATGTTGGAAAAAAAATTGAAGTTATATATAACACATTACACATAATACATAACCAATAGCACTTGCTTATTAAGAAAACTGTATTGCAGAGGTTATTTTATGTGTTAGTTTTTTAAGCATCTCTACAATTAATATAGCTTCATGTCTATTTTTTTACTTTTTAAGTAAAACTTACATCTTACTTACATCAATATATATATAATATATATATTGATGTAAGTAAGATCTAAGTTTTATTTTTATTCATTATCTGTAAAGTAATTACATAAATTAGCTCTTGAATTAGCTCAAACAGAAAAGTCTGTAAATTATATAACAATTGAAGATTTTTTGGACCTGAAAGTTGATTTTTCTTTGACTTGTTAAAAATGACATTACCTTAGACAAAATAGCTGAAAATCAGTTCATCAAACTGGAACTTTTTGCAGCTATGTGCTATGTGTATGTATCACTATATATTATATACTTATTTCCAGATTATAACATATTTTTAAAAAATTTGTCACTGGTCTTTTTGTTCTACATTACAGTGCAGAACGTGCTTCTAATTCTAGTCAAGACCTCATTAAAACTTTTAGAAACAAAAGAAGACGGAGAAGTAAACTTAATGGTTGTATCTTATCATTGTTTAAAATTTAAAACCACTGATAAAATATCTTAGATAAAAACTATAAGATAATCTTTCTTTAAATAAAAATGTACAAAAATTACAAAAATGTTTTATATTACAAAAATGTGTTATATTTAAAGTACATGAAAAAAAAATTAAAAAGCCCTCTCCTCCCCAACCTCTCAATTATATAAATGATTGCAAATGGTTAAGATCAACTCTTCCCATCATTTTTACCAAAAAACAAAACATAATCTAAAAGTAGATAAATCAAGCTACAAAAATAACTCTCATAGTATTTTTGAAATTTTGTTAAGTGACCCTGCCCCTACTATAAATGTAAAAACTTGAATACTTCGCATATTTGGACAGCTGGGACCAAATTTTCATCTGATCTGGTGGGGAGTTTTTATTTAATTTGGAAAAAAGTATTATTATTTTTTGATTAATACAAGTAAAAGTTCATCTTTTGCCGCTATGCCATTACCGAAAAAAATGTAATGTGCTTTTTAGTCATATATATATATACATACATATATATATATATATATATATATATATATATATATATATATATATATATATATATATATATATATATATATATATATATATATATATATATATATATATATATATATATACATATATATATATACATATATATATATATATATATATATATATATATATATACATATATATACATATATATACATATATATACATATACATATATTTACATATATATATATATATATATATATATATATATATATATATATATATATATACGTATATATATATATATATATATATATATATATATATATATATATATATATATACATATATATACATATATATACATATATATACATATATATATATATATATATATATATATATCTACTATAGCATATTTATATGCGCAATTGCTCACTTTTTTTGCTAGCCTAAATTAAGTGAGCGTTTTTAGAAAACGATGAGGGAAAACGAAGAATAATGACTGAAAAGGTTGCTGACCCATACCAAACCCTCAGTCGATGTAGCAGCACTCCACTGCGAGTCAGGCTATTTATCAGTCATTGTATGTACTGAAGCCCCCGCAGCAGGCTATTTCAGTATGACGACATCATGCTCAACTAACTCAGCAGTAAAAGATATAACACAAGTGCTTTTAAGAAAATTACAACCTCCAGGGTTGTTGCAACCAATTTCAAAATTCCCTCTTAATTTTAATTGCTTAGTGTCACCCCCATCAACTACAAGACTTGGATTTATAGCATCTTGTGTTGGATTTATAGCATCTCCTGGATCCTAATAAAAAGAAGCATATAAGTAATAAATATTAAAAATTGCATTAGGTAGCTTTATTAGTATATTTAACTATACAAGCAGTAAAAAACCCCACGGAAATTTGCAAGAATCTATCACTGAGTCTGTTATAATTTTTCTTTTCTTGCTTTAATTAATTAGCCATGTAAATATTGCAGAACTTGCTCTCCAGTAGGCAATTGAGGTGATGGTAGTATCTGAATGGTATCAATTATCAAAAAAACTTTGTTTTGATCTTTTATCTTTTCCCATTTTATTTTAAATATTAAATTATATTTGTTTCTACTATTAATGTAGATATTATTTTTTCTGCTAAAACAAAACATAAAATAAGAAAATCATAAAAATTAAAATTATTTTTGATTTTTCTCAGCAAAAAAATCAATTTTTCTACTTTAATAAAGCTTAAAAGTGTCATAAATAATTGCGATCTTAATAAAATAAACTGACCGGCAAATTGAAAATTTAGTAAAACTTAAAAATGATTGTATAGACCTCAAATTTGAATAAAAAACGGTGCCTCAAAAATGTTCATTTTTAAAGTTATTTAACCGATTATAATGTGATTTGATCTTTGAGTCCATTAAGCAAGGTCTAAAAATTGTGCAAATGAGTTAAATTTAGTTTTTTATTGATCACAGAGTACACCCACAGCACATGGAAAACAGTGCTTTTTGATTTTCGAAAATAAGCGGCATTTGATCCACCTTAATATATATATATATATATATATATATATATATATATATATATATATATATATATATATATATATATATATATATATATATACATATAAATATATATATATATATAAATATATATATATATATATATACATATATATATATATATATATATATATATATATATATATATATATATACATATATATATATATATATACAACCCTTTGAACTAGGGTTGGCATTTGGCAATGCTGACCTAACTGTCAACCTTAAAGTGTTTAAGGTCAGCAAAAAATTATGGTCAGCTTTTTAAAAAAATGAAGTTTATGTTAATCCACTGCTTGGAATAAAGCAAAAGTCAGTTTTGAGAAAATTATTCTGAAGTAAACAATTCAGAGGTTATCATACAACAGTTTGTTTTTTGCAACTTTCTTTACTACTTCTTTACAGCATCAATTGGTAAAATAATGTTAAACTCTATTGTTCGTGTAATTATTTTGTTGGTTGGCCAGCAGATTGAGTGTTCCTAATACTCGATCTGCAGACAAATCTTGGGATCAATTATCCCTGATACTCAATCACAAGATATGTTTGTGTGTGGTGTATAGTTCTAGTATGCTGCATAGTTTTTTAAAAATAGATTGTCTTGCATTTGAGTCGAAACGTTTCTTCCATAAATTGAAGTTTTAAAGAGATTGCTAATAAACCAGACTAAAAAAATGTAAAAACTTGAATAAAGTTAATGATAGATTGCCCAAAGCAAACCCTCAGTTAATGTAGCGACACTAATTGTAGCAGCAGGCTATAAGATAGTCGATGTAGCAACACTCCCTTGTAGCAGTAGGCTATAAAATAGTGCTACACTATCTTATACTACATCAACTGAGGTTTTGAAATGAGGCAGTAACTGACTACGTTTATTTTTATTTTCTTCACAATTTGACCACGGCTGTTTTGATGTTTTAACAATTTAAATGCAATTTAAAAAATTGTTATATGATGAATAACTTATTGCAGATCTTTTCTTATTTTTTTATTTCACCCAAAGGTTTTAAATAAAATAAAAAGTTAATTATAATGATTGTTTAAAATAAACCCTATTTTGTGTAAGTTATGTATATATATATATATATATATATATATATATATATATATATATATATATATATATATATATATATATATATATATATATACATAATATATATTTAATTTTTTTTTAGTATATGGCCGCTTTTGATGGATTCTATGTCAATTTTGATGCAGCGTACACCTAAAGATTTAGAATATGAACTTCCTTTAGCTTATCAACGAGTATAATCTTTCGTTCTAAGTTATTAAATTTGATCTATTGCTTAGCTTAACTGTTTTCAACTTGATAAAATAAATTTATATATTTTATTTATGTAGGTATTTAAAAAAATATTTAAAAAAAAAAAAAAATTATTTTCCAAATAAAATGATTAATAAACAAAAAAACATTAAAAATAAAACTTTTTTTTATTTATTAGTTTTTAGTTTTTATTTATTTTTCTATAATTTTTTTTACATTATGTAGGTCAGTCAAATAGAAGGAGTTTACAGTGTTCAAGATCCGCACTTCTGGACTTTATGCAGGTTAGTGTAGCTACTATTAAGTTTTGTGGATTACTATAGGTTGCCATTAAATTTATGGATATGAAAATCTACAGTAAAAGTATAATTGGCAAAATATTTGATTAATAAATAAATTTTAAAAGTAAATATAAAAAAATGAGTGATTTTTTTTCATTTTAATGAATTCACTTCCAACAAAGCTACAAGCAACAGTTTAAGTTTGGAGTTAACAACAAGGCTTCAAACAACCACTGTTTATGTTGGGAGTTAACAGAAAGGAAAGAAGAAAAATAAAGAACAAATGTGTCAAGTGATTGATAGAAAACTTGCTATAAGTTGTATAAGTTAGAAAAATATGAAAATAGAAAAGATAAAGAGATAAAGTACCAATGAGGAAAATCTAAACGAAAAAGCTAAAAGTTTTTTAAGCATGAAAAGTGTCAAAAGAATGTGAGCCAAATAATGAGTCATAGACAAATAAGGTATTGAGGCAGAGTAAGAAATCAGGTGTCAAATAGTCAAAAGAAATAGTCACACTGTCAAAATAAATCAAGAAGCGAACATGATAAAGAGAGGCTACCTTAGCAAATGCTTTATCTCCAATGTATTGGTTATACGTTTTCCTTAAAAGATCAGTTATAAATAGTAATTTAAAAAGATATAAATTAGAGGACTCAATAAGAATATTCATTGACACATATATATCAAGAGTATTGCAATAATTATTATAAGTAAAATCAATTGAATGTATATATGGATTCTATGAGATATAGATAATTGGAGAAAATATAAAGTAAAAGACTGGGTAAGAGTGTTGTCATAATCAATATAGAAATATCAGTATTTTTTTTTTTTTTTTTTCTTAGTTAAAGTTTAACTAGCACTTCTTTTTTCAGCGCATTTCTAAAATGTTTAAGTCATGGAAACATTTTAAAAAACATGGAAACATCAGAAGAAAAAATATTTTAGGTTAAAATTCACAAAACTGTTTTCACAGAAGAGAAATCATACTTAATAATGGTTCTAAGCAATCAAAATTTATTTATTATTAATATAAAATTGAAAACTGTAGTGTAAAAATTGTACAGAAAGTAATCACATAAAAGATTACTTTGTAACAGTTAAAATTTACTTATATCTTTTATCAATATTTTTTTTAAAAGAGTTTATTGTCTTCACATTAACAGTTTTACGTCTAAATTGTTCTAATTGTTGCAAACTCGATTTAAGAAAATGTTAGGCGTTATATTTTGGAGTGTGTTCTCTTGAGAATATATAGTTGTTATTTCTGCTTCTTTTTTTTTCGTCTAATGCTCTGTTGGTTATAAAATTTATTGGTTTTGGTAATGAAATTCAATCATAACCAATCAAAAACCAATCATAACCAATCATTCTATACATGTATAAGTTCAACAAAAGTTCTTCTTTTCTCTAATGATTCCAGTTAAAAACTTTAAGTCTGTTTTCATATTTCTTTTTTTTTTTAAAGATGGGACCCTTTTTGTTGCTCTTTTTTTAACTTTTTCCAAATGATCTATATCTTGTTGTTGGTTAGAACTGAGACAGCATAGTCTAAATGTGGTCTTACGATGTTTATAGTACTTTCATAGTACAGACATCCAAATTTCTAAAAGGTTTATTGACCATTCCCAAAATCTGGTTTGCATTATTTGCTGTTTTTATAACTTGATTGTGCCATTTTAGTTTATTTGTAATAAAAATGCCCAGATCTCTTTCTATTTCTGTTTCTTGTAGTATTATATGTTCATTAGTATTAGTCATATTTATCATGAAATATTTGAATTTTTTGTTTTTTACTCTAAAGTGAATAACTTTACATTTTTTTTTATTGAAACACATACACCATAGGTCTGCCTGTTGTTGCATAGATATAATATCATCTTGAAGGTTTGATCTTTCTGATTTGTTGTTTATTGAAGCAATTAATTTACTATCATCGGCATATAGTTGTAATAGTAATTTTAGTTTGTCTTGTAAGTCATTGATATATATAACAAATAAAATAGGTCCTAAAACTGAACCTTGAGAGATACCGCTCAAGACTTCTCCCCACTCAAATGTATGCTGTTTCAAAACCACTCTGTCTTCTATTAGATAATAAACTGTGAAGCCATTTAACCAATTTTTTTTTAAAAGCCATAGTTTTTTATCTTGTGCATTAATTTTAGGTGTGAAACTTTATCAAAGGATTTTGCCAAGTCAAAATATACAACATCTACTGAAGTCTTATTATATAGATGGTTAGTCTTGACAAAAACCCATCACATTTCAAATGTGATGGGTTTTTGTCAAGATTGAGGTATGCTGAGTTATATCATCAGCAAGGGAAGCCACACAAGGGAAGATTATTATTATAGATAAAGAAAATATAATAATAACACAGAACTAAAGATGGAATCTTGTGTCACCACAGAAGTTACTGGAAAACATTAATTCTGTAGTTTGAAAGAAATGATTTGATAAATTTAAAAAACTTTCCAATATACACCATATAAAACTAGATTACCAAGAAAACAAGCATGCCAGATTTTATTGAAAATCTTGTCTAGAACCCTTGTCTCACCACTTCTAATTAATGCACAATAGCTTTTAGCTCAATAGCACATTACTTTTATAACTGCTATCAAGTCAGCTGAAGAATGAGATGATCAAAATCTGTATGGGTTGTCATAGTGTAAGTTATTAGGCTCATAATGAGATATTAGAAACTTGTTAGTTAACGATTCAAAGATTTTGCTTGTAGTAGTATGAAAATTAGTTAGATGATAATTGATAGATAATAGTAATAATTAGATTAGTAAAAATTGATAAGATTGGATAATAGTCAGAGGGATTATAAAGATCTACAAAGTTTTTAAAAAATGGGTGCCATTTTTTAAACCATTCTATTTTTCAATAGACAAGAAAACGAGACCCAGCTAAACACTTTTTGAATAGTTTAGAAAGTAATCAAGAGAGGTCTGGTAAACACTTTTGTTTGACATTAATGTTGCCCAGACTACAAGCTGTAGAGGAGTTAAGTGTGAAATAACTTCATGCAGTGAAATAGATGTATAACTATGGGTTAATCGGTTTCTTTTGAATTAAATATTTCTTCCTTATCTTTTGGGAGATGTATTAAGATCTATGTATGAGCGATGTTAGACTTGCCTTTGTTATTGAAATTGTTAAAAATTTTATAAAAGTCAGTGGTACTAGAACCAAGGCATTCAGTGTGATAAGCGTTATTGACACCCATAATAATAGCATTTGTTGAAAGATAATGAGAAAGGGATAGATTCATTTAATCAAAAGCAACAAACAACAGAAAAGTGCAGTTTTTAAAGAAGCAGAACAAAAAACAATAAAAAGAAAAATGATCGAGTGAAGAAATTATAAACGAAAGCAGATAAAAGAATACTTAGGATTCAAATTTAATTTCACAACAAGTACATGACACCCTAAACAACAGACTATACAGATGTCTTATTCCTGCTAATGAAAAAGTTGTAATGTAGGGTTTCTTATGTGGCCTTGAATGCGCATCAAAAGTACTAATAAAGACACTTTTTATGACCATCATGGTCATGAAAACTGATAATAATAAGTGATAATACTTCTGATATTTTACAGCTGTTGTTGGAATCAATTTCTCTAAAAGCTTTGATAGATTTTAGAAAAGATTACTTAAAGTTAGCCTAAGAACTATTTAGCTGAGTTTTGGATCTGTAACTGTACCAAGAAAGTGCAAGTAAAAACCTTAAATTAGAATCGAAAAAAACTCAGCGTTTATTATCTTAGGCAGAAAATAAATTGTTAGATAAAGAAGAATGCAATGCTGGTCAACAAAATTTTTTTGAGTTTTGTTGACCAGCATTAAAAACTTTTTATTTAGGTGCTTCAAGAAATCCTTACAGTCTTATCACAGATCACTGCGGAAAAGCATTTAACCAGGAAGCCTACTTCCTTACCATCGATGCATATATAGTCAAAATCAGCTTCAAACCGCGGACCTCCAGTTCTGAAGCCAGAACTCTAACTACTACACCATCACTGTTTTCCCCTCCATACTTATTTTATTTTAAGTAAGAATTTAAAAACAGAAACAACACCTTTGTATTTCCAGGTTCCAAATTCAGGTATTTGTAAAAAATTGCAATCAAAAATGTTGAATTTTTTTACAAAAAAAGCAAAGATCTGTAAGATTGTTTAAAAGCTCTAAAAATATGTATTATTATTATACTTAAGTAAGGTTTGAAGTATATTTAGAATATATAATATATATAGTATATAAATATATAGTATATATATTTATATATATATATATATATATATATATATATATATATATATATATATATATATATATATATATATATATATATATATATATATATATATATATATATATATATATATATATATATATATATATATATATAACTTGCGGACAAAAAAAAATAAGACTGCATATGCAAAACTTTTGTTTGTATTTTTGCAATTTTTGGCAAGTCATACAATGACTTTTTTTGTATTTCATGAAACCCATTGTTTGATTTATCAGGTGCAAATATATTTATCAAAAAATCTATGTGTTCATTATTATTTCTGATTTACCTAAAAATAATTTTAGAAATGAAGTTGTCAGTGTTGACATTTGACTTTCTTTTTAAAGCGGGTCATAAAGACCAAAAGTCTTTAATCAAATTAACTGGGATACTTAAGGCAACAGTTGCAAGATATTTAAAGAAAATGAGGGAAGGAATGAGCTTGGAGAGAAAGAAAGGAAATGGTAGACCAAGAAAACTTATTTTAAAGGACCAACAACAATTGATTCAATTAGCTTGAAAAGATGACACACGATCCGCCCGAGATATTCAAATTAAATTAATTAAAAAAGGTAGTCCCAAGGTTGCTCCCAGAACCATTACTCATTATCTTAGCCAAAGTGGGTACTTCAGTTTCGTTCCCAAAAATCAACCCTTATCGACTCCTGTTCAACAAGAAAATAGGGTAAAATGGTGTGAGGAACACCTAAGAATAAGATGGAATCAATGGGTATTTAGTGACGAGAGTCGTTCTGAGTTATTTTGAACTTGAAAAGGTCGATGGGCAAATAAACAATCGAGAATTGGCAAATCAAAGTTCAAACAAAGTCTAATGGCTTGGGGGCCGATTAGTCCTAAAGGTAAACATCATTGCTTATAATGAAGGGCACTGTAAATAGTGAAAAGTACAAAGAAATACTTTCTGAAGCTGAGCCAACTCTAAAAAATCTTTTCCCAAGGAGTTTTATGATGGGGTGATGTACCACATTTCAAATTCAGTTTCAGAGTGGTTTACAGAGCATAAATGATAATTTTCTTCTTGGCCCGCTAATTCACCAGATCTAAACCCATTGAAAATGTGGGGGGTGATTGAAAAAAGCAGTAGAAAAAAAAAAAAAAAATTAGATGATTTAGAGGTTGCAATTCAAGAAGTTTTGAACGGACTTTCCATGGATTATTTGAAGTCACTAATTGACAGTATGAACCCCTATATTCAAAAATGTATAGAAGTCCAAAGACACGTTACCATATATTGATCAGTATATTATTTTAAAAATTAAGCTTTACTCTTTATTTTCTATTGAAATATTTTATTATTCATTTATTATTTTGAAAATAAAACTTAAAAAACTTGGTCTCATTTTTTTTGTCCGCAAAGTATATATGTATATATATATATACTAAATTAGTATATTCTAAAGTAAGGTTTAAAGTATCCTTAATCTTTATACCAAAGTAAGGTTCAACAACTTAAAGCAGCCATTCCCCAGTAGTTTAAGTTCTTGCTCAGTACCAAGAGGTTTAGGTTCAATGCCAGCCCTGGCCAAATTAGAGACATAGATAAAAAAAGAGTGATGAACTGATTAAATGCTTTTCTGTGGTGCTCTGTGATAAGACTGTTTAGTCTTCTTGGAGCACCTTAACATTTAGAAGAAAAAAAACTAAAGTCTAACACAAAGGTAGGGCTCAAAAAACTACCAATAAAGTATTGTAAAGTGAATCAAATAAATTAATAAAGCTAAAACAAAACAAAAAATTGGTTTTTAATTTTTTTTTTTAATTTTTTTTTTTTAATTTTTTTATTGGCTAACAAGCTGTATTTTTTTAATTATTTATTGCTTAACCAGGGCAAACTATTTATTATAAAATAATTTTTTGACAAAAGTTGTTTTTTTAAGTTTTCACCAGCGACGCTTTATGTCAACCTCAATCCATGATATTATGTATATATATATATATATATATATATATATATATATATATATATATATATATATATATATATATATATATATATATATATCAAGTTATTAAGTATCGCAGTGTTTCTATTGTAATTTGCAAGTTTGTTTTAGCAAAAATAATGTTGGATCTATGCGAGTGTTGATATCACCGCAGGCAGATGCATCTTACGTTTTAAGTCAAACTCATGGTATTTTTAATCAAGTAAGTAGGGAAACCTTTGCTTTTAAAAAATTTCAAATTAATATGTCAATTTTTTTTCTGTGAGATGATAATATTGCATTTATTTATTTTGATTATTATATTGATAAATAAATTAAAGGTATAAATAAAACTCTATTTTTAAACGCTATAATAAATGTACCATAATTATTTTTATTAAAATGAGTAAGAAAATACAAGAAATTTGAAAAGGCATAAAAAATCTATCAAATATCAATAGTTTATCTCCGAATTGCTTACAAAAAACATACATAACTTCAACCAAATAAAATTTCCAAAAAATTTTATATATTTTTCACAATAATTATTCAAATCATAAACCCATTGTTTTTGGAACCTTTTCAGCAGTTGAGTTAATCAAAACTGAATAATCGTTTTCATCAGTGGATGAAACTTGAGTTGCAGTTTTCACTTCTCATAACGTTTTTTTATGTATACATAATGTCATTGTGTTCCGATACGCAAGTTTCATCAGTGGATGAAACTTGAGTTGCAGTTTTCACTTCTCATAAAGTTTTTTTATGTATACATAATGTCATTGTGTTCAGATACGCCAAGTTTGTTCCATAGTGTCACGTCTTTAGAGTCAAAATTTAGAACATATTTGCAATATACATGAACATATATGTAATCAAAATATATATGCAATCAGAACATATATGCAATTTTCAATTCTCTTAAAGTTTTTTTATTTGGAAAACTAGCAAACATTTTCTGAAATTAAACCTTTCTTAGCTGGGTGTTGATTATTTTTAAACTTATGTTTCTCTTTCTTTGACAATAGGATGGAATACCCATTAATTTCAAATATATTAATCAAAAACAATAAAATTTATTTATTTTCAATAAATCTTCTTGTAGAACAGGGCAAGGACTCTATCTACTCCATAATAAAACCAGCTAATATAATGAAATGTTCTTAATGTTTTAAAGTAATACATTGTAATATGGGAATATCACAAATTCTTTTCATAAAATTAAAATGTAAACTAATAGACTAATAATAAACTACTTATAATTAAAAAAATTTTAAAATTTAAATACCCAGCATGAAAGAGCAATAAATTCTAATCAAGAAACAGTTGTTAAAATTATTTGGATTTTTTAAGATTTTTTTCTATAAGAACCACCTTAAATGTCTGTACTTGGCAATATTTCATTTATATCATAATTATTGTTGTAAAGTTTAGAGAAAAAGCGATAATTAATATTATGAATTTGTTAACTCAACAATCATACTAAATTTTCAACTCTTTAACACAGAAACTTCAAACTTTTCAAAAAATTTAAAGTTCTTAACTTGTCAGCACTATTTCGGTTTGGTAATCTTTTTTTGTTGTTGTTTTTAATTCATTTAATAAAAATTTACTTCCATAAAATACTTTTTTACGGAAATTCAATTTATAAATATACATTTAACTGAAAAATAGTAGGAAGCCTTCCATTGTACATCAGTGCATCTGTGAACTTTGATGTGTGGGAAGCCTTCCGTTGTACATCAGTGCATCTGCGAACTTTGAGTTGTGAGAAGCCTTCCATTGAACATCGGTGTATCTGTAAATAGAACAAGTCTTGTGTGTATTGTGAATAAGTTTGAAAAATTACAACTTTAAAAGGATTTATCTTCATTTCATTATTCGAAACAAAATAAATTTGAACAAATTAAAAAATATATATATTTTAAATCCTCATCATTAAAATCAGTTTATTTAATTATCTTATTATTATTATTATTATTATTATTATTATTATTATTATTATTATTATTATTATTATTATTATTATTATTATTATTATTATTATTAACATTATTATTATTGCTATTACTATTTCTATTATTATTATCATCATTATTATTAGGTTCGAATATTTTTTAAAATAAAATGTTGCATGAGTTAAAGCAAATTTTTCTTTTTTTTTTTTAGCTCGGAGTTAAACAGCTATTTGTTCAAATTGAAAGGTAGAAAAAAAAGTTTATAGTGGATGGCAATAAAAAAAAACAGAACTTTAATGCCTCTAAATAAATTCAAAATAATTTATATTATCAAATAAATTTTCACATTGATTTTCTTGGTATTTTTCATATTTATGCATTTCAAATTAACTCGAAGTATTTTTTTAAACATAAAACATTTTAAATGCAATTTTATTATATATTGTATTTGTATTAATATTCTACTTCATTTTAAATATTATTACTTATTTAATTAGACAATACTTTAAGGTTTTTTAAATTTCTGTTTAAAGAGTTAGTAAATATTATGTTCTATTTATAGATAGTAGTTTTTATATAAAATTGCATAATAAGTAATAGAACTGTTATAAAATTGAATAATTTAAAAAAGAACTGTTATAAAATTGAATAATAAATAATAGAACTGTTAGCCAAAATTGACGTTTAGTTTTTAGACACGTCGATTCACGTTTACTTAAACATTTATTTTTGTGTTTTTTGTTTTTTTGTTTTGTTTTGTTTTATTTAACGAAGTAAAATTAAACGTTCGTTTTTTTTCTCCCTCTGTTTTTGCAAAATAAAATAAATAAGTCTATAAAGGACTTTTGAAAAATTAGTGAATGTTAGTATTATTGTTTAATAAATGATTTTACACAGCACTAATTAGGGCCTTAAGGTTAATGTTAATACATGTTGTGTTTTTTATGGAGTTATTTAAAAAAACAGTTGTTTATTTCAGTTTGTAAAGATTATTGGACTAAATCGTTTTACTACAGAGGCAGCCGATTTTTTATTTGATACAAATTTTAGGCAACAAATCAACTTTTTATACAGGCTGCCTCTGTAGTAAGATACTTCAGTTCATTTTTACCGGTGTGAACTGTATAGAGAGCCAACTCTATATATCGACTATTCTCTTAAAACTTTTGTTACTTATTCTAATAAAAAACAAAATGATATAATAGACAGGTATGATGTCTTGTTCAATAAAGAAACTATCGGTTACAACTCTACTAGTAATCCGGAGAAGAAGAAAAAACTGGTTTTCTGAATATTTGATTTGTTATTTGTTTTAATTTCTTGGTTGTTTAGTTAATATTCTTTGATTATTGTACTGTTAAAAAAATTTACCATCCCCGTTATAATTTTTTATTATTCAATATTTTGTAATTACGTCAGAACGAAACAAGGTCATCAAAAATTTATTACATCCTTAATATTTTATGCTTATCTACTACTAATTTAATGGGTTAGTTGAGATAATACAAGCTGCTGTCATGTTATTTAAATTATGATAGTACTTGATGAAGTCACTTATTATGACTTTTTTAGACGCTCAAGATGAGATACGGCTTTTTATTAAGAAAAGCGCGTTTTTTTTAAGTTATTCTCCGCGGATCTTTATTTTGGTATTTCAATAGCGAAAGTTTTTTCAAATCAAAGTATCGTTAACTATTTCAGAGATTAGAAAGATTTGTTTTTTTTTATGGTTGAGATAATTACTTTTTACTTAAGTATAGTCCTTGAAGATAAAATTTTATTTAATTTTTTTTGTTATTTTGAGTTTTTTTAAGTTCCATTAAAAGAAGCTCATCTTAGGAAATCAGTTTCCTAAGATGAGCTTTTTTTTAAAATGATAAGGTGTGTTGAAGAAAACGCAATTTTTGGTATAAAGATTTTTTTTAAATGAATTATTCAAAAATTTTTCAAAAGCTCAAAACTTCATAAATTTAGTTTAACACTTGCTTCTGAAATTTTTTACAGTTTGTTCATTAATGTTAGGAAATACCTTTGTGCCTTGGATATCTAATAATAATGATGGCTAATAATATTTTTTGTAATTCATTATGTAATTACGTTGATTTTTAAAGCAATCTTTACAAAAAACGCAATTATATCATATGGGAGCATATATTTCTATCAAACAAAACCCAAATGAAAGATATGGTAGTTTGAACTAGTAAGCATATATTTGGTAACAGTTGTTGTCAACTTTTTTTAGTAATCATATCATAGAATTTTCATTTTTTTTAACACAAAATCGGACAAAAAAAAGTATGGTTAATCGAGACAAATTTGTTTCGAATTTAGTTTTTCATATTTATGTTACCTGTTTATTTCGAAAAAAAAATTGTATAGATGAAAAGCTTTTTTACGCCTGTAGGCGAACCACCTTAAAAGGATGGCACCGTTAGACCGCATTGAATAGAATCTAATAAATTTCCTTTATTAAGCATACCGGCTTTTACTTTTTTATTATTTAGCTCGTTGGTATGGTAAACAATAAAAATATATAACAATATCAACAACAACAAAAATGTATAGTGCCTGTCATTTATTTGTCGTAACAAAATAAATTAGCGTTTAATAATACTCAGTTGTTTTTTAATCTTAATTTATGAAATCTTATCATTTAATTCAACTCTTGTTGCAAAATTTGTTGCTTTAGCATTTATGAGATTGTTTATTTTTTTTTATTATTATTATTTATTTATTTTGTTTTTTTCTTGAACGCCTGTTTTTATTTTAGTTGCTTTTTTTTTTATTCTCTTCTAACTTCTTTTTTTTTTACCCATTTGAATTAAACATCCTTCCAGCCACTGGATGGGCGAATAGTTAAAAGCGCCTGATAAAGTAAGTCTTAATTATGCGATTTTTTATTAACACTTTCAAACAAATTGATTTCTTAATGAATAATTTATAATTACTGTAGCTAACTTGAAAGTAATTTTTATTTGTCATAAATTTTACCTATCAAATTGTCTTTTCTTTCAGATTTAATTTACTAAATTGATGTTACTAGTATTAAGCTTATTGCTATCTCTTTTATTTGTTATTGCTATCTCCTTCATTTGTTATTGTTATCTCAATCATTTTTAATTGCTATCTCCATTTATTTATAGATTATATTTATAAGTCTAGCAATTAATTTAATAACTAATTTTATTATCGCTGTTTAAGATAGTTTGCAAAAAATGTTTAAAGATTGTGTATTATCTGGTCTTGAAAATGAAAAAGAACTTTTTTTTGCTTTTTTAACATCTTTCAATTAAATCAGTTTTAAGATTCTTCTTTACATAGCATTCTTTAAAATTTTGCTTTTTAACCATAAATTTTAATGTGTCATCAGTTGGTAGTAATTTTGCTTTCCTTCTAAAAATCATTTTGTCAAAGGAATTCAGACTTTTTGCTAAATTACTTTAAGTTCATCATACATTATTAGTTTTTTAAACTGAAATCTACCAGAGGTTTACTAACTGCTTCACTTTAATAAATTTTTGAAATATAGTTAGCATTGAATACCAACGATTTTTTAAATTCAAAGTCATTTATTAGTTATCGTCCAAATTCATTTTTAAAGTAACGGTTTAAAGTATCCGTTTTTAAAGAATATCTTTTAAAAGTAACATCTATTTTTTAAACTTTAACCAGAAAATTATGAAACTGATAAACAAGATCAGGAAATTCGTTACTTATTTCATTTTCTTCCTACTCATGATCAAAAATATCTTCAACATCGTTATCACTAAGACTTCGATTATTATTGTAATCTTTTTTTTAATTACCATAACTACATCAAAAATTACATTACTATATCATTGCATGTTTAAAACAAAATTAAAAATATAATAAAATATAAAAACAAAGCTGAAAAATATAATAAGATAAAATAGCAGGAAAAATTTTTTTTAATTATTCCTTAACAGAAGCAACATCAGTTCTTATTAAAACTACATTAAAGAAAAGACTTACATTAAAAATCTCCAAGACAATAATTTTAATTGTGTGCTTCTGATATTCTCTCTTATCCAAGACTAATAAAGCCTCGATTGAAGTGAAGGTTTATTCTTATAAATCCTTTTTGCCTTGTTTCAAATACTCATTCATATCTATAATAAACTCGAATTTTTTTTTTTTTAATTATTATTTTGAGTATCTTTTTTCAATTTTCTTCAACTTTTTTCCTATAATATTTATTGATAAGACACGTGACATCTGTTTTTAATTTTTTTTTTTTTTTTTTTTTTTCTTGTTCTTTATTAAATGGTTTAAAATACAGACGTTTAAGATACCAATATAGAAGAGAAAAATTACACTTAAAGAAGTTAAAGATAAATATAAATAATGGGACAATCAAAGAAGACCTTGAGTTCTTGTTACAGAGAACCGCTGTTGAAAATTAGACATTTCTTTCGTTATAGTTTTAAATTACTTGCTTAAAGGTGCTCGCAACGAAATTACATAGCCTTCCAAGCGAAAGTCTTATGCAACTTTTGTCTGTAACTTTTAGATAAATTTCACTTTCTCAAAATCAAAATATCAAGTAATCTTCATTCAACGACAATTATTTGATATTCAATTGAGTTTTTCTACTTCGTTTTCTATATCTACGACTAATTTATCCATGAGTTGTATGTTTTTTCTTCTTTACAGTATATATACAAGGTCAACAATAAAGGATAAATAATTAAGATGTTACTTTTTTTGTTTTATAGTATTGATCTTTATTGTATTGATAAATATTGATCAAATACTTGTAATGTAATTTCATGTTCTTTCTTCGTCTCTAATAATGCTCTTCTGTGATCATTGTACAGATTTTGTACATCTGTACAATGCTACTCTTCTGGTATAAAGTTTTATGAATATGTACATACGCATACAAACGCACACACATATCCAGATACACACATACATACATACATACATACATACATACATACATACATACATACATACATACATACATACATACATACATACATACATACATACATACATACATACATACATACATACATACATACATACATGCATATATACATACATACATACATACATACATACATACATACATACATACATACATACATACATACATACATACATACATACATACATATCCACATGTATACATACAGTGGAAGGCCATCACATTAGGACCAGCTGTAATTTTTTGTAAATATCGTGTAAAAATAAATTTTTTGGCAAAAAGAAAAGTAATGGTGTAATTTAAAGCTTGTTCTTTTATTTATAAAGTTATACTTAATATAAAAAAAATATATACTTTTTCTCAATCCTCAACAGACCAGTGACAATGGTTTCAAGCC